TTGCGAGGAAGAAGCCCTTGGAGTGCCAGACTGAAAACAAAGAGTTAGTATATGCATAAGACAACTCAAAGAGGAAGAGTTTTCGAAGCTTACCAAGGGTGCCCCCTTGTTGGGGGAGTCGGCATAAGACTGTTGCATGAGCGAGGCCCGCAACATGGCCGCCGCAGTCTTGGATGCTGTTATTTTACTCATGGCGTCAGCTGCAAGAAATAAACAGCAAAGTTAGTAAAAATCCCAAGTAAACAAGGCGTGAAAAAACAGAGTATTTGTCAGGCCGGCTACCTCTAGAGCACCGACTGCTGAGGCCACAGGCGGCCAAAAAGTACTCGTCATAGAGCCACTTGAAGCTCGGGACGCAGTTTAGGGGTACTTGCTCTCGTACCCCTGACGTAGGGTTCACCCTAGTCTCTACTTTGAAGAGTCCTTTGTCTAGGATCTCTCTTTTAGCCTTTGGGGGAACAGGCGGCATGCTGCGGCCGCCTGCGAGAAGAGGCGGATCCCTATTCCACTTGTTAAAACGTTGGTTCAGCTCCGTGTCTGAACCCTCTATGATAAGGAAGGTGTTCCGCCAATCCTTCCATTTGTTCGCTTTACCCCTCGTCATGAGGTAACCCCTATGGCTCGTTAATTGATACCAGCCGGTACCTCCCGACTTAGGGGTCCGGCTGAGATAGTTCATGTGGGCGAAAGCCTCAAAGCTTGGCTCCACCCCGTACATTTCGCACCCGGCCACATAGCCGAGTACGTTTACCCAAGAGTTGGGGGCTAACTGCCATAACCCCAAATCATACCCATCTAAAATCCGCTGAACAGCCGGATGTAATGGGAAGCGCAGTCCAGCTTTGATGGCCGCCTCATAGTAGCCAAAGCAGCCGATATCATAGCTGGTACCAGCCGGCCAGACGACAGTGTCTTCTGGATCCGGCACGAACAGTAAAAATCCGGGGCCCATTCTGTGGTTAGCTATAAAGCTCTCCACTTTGTCTTTCATGGCCGCGATCCGGCCCCGGGGTACCGTGCAGTAATAGGGGGTGTTTTCCTCTCTGTGAGAGGCGGACGGCTCCGCCCAATTGTCCCCTTTCTCAACTGCATGAGAAAGCCTCGCCTCTTGTAGGCGACTGTTTCTTTCTTCTGAGCCTGGAGAACTGTGGCCAGAAGAGCTGGACTCGGACTCGTCCTCTGACGAGTCCGAAAAGGACGACTCCTCCCCTCTCCCAGAGGGGCCCGCCTTCTCTCCCTTAGAAGGAGCAGGAGGAAAATTAGACATATCAACGGTAAGATGGGAAGGTACCACCTTGGCCCCTCTCTCAGAACTGTCGGCTTGGCAGCCGCCTCGTTTCAATTCTACATCTGGCGCCTGGTCAGATGTTTCACTAAGGAGCACCCTTTGGGAGGAGCCGTCTGAGTTTGATATCATGGCAGTCTTTTTTGTTCTGGCCATCACGTTCTGCATAGACACAGATACAGTCGGACTTTGTATAAAGGGCAAAGATGGGTCCAGAAAAGGGCAGGCGGCACTCCTAGTCCTAGATTCAGCCGTCCCCGGTGACCGGCTGATCACTAACTTAGGTCGTGTCGTGTGCTTCCGTGGTGCCATTTCAAAAAATAAAAAGAAAATTAAGAGTAAGAGAACTGAGTTACCTGAACGAGTGACGGTTGATGAAGTTCTGGAAATCCGGGTCAGTCGGCTTGTCAGAACAGGCGGTAGGCAGAAAATGTCCGAAATGTCAGAGCAAGTTCAGGGGTCCGAATGTTCTCGCAAAGTTCTCAAATGTGAAAATGACCGAAGTCAGCACTTCCTTATATAGGCAAAGTGAGAAGGCGAAGGGTCGCTTCCAAATTCAAAATGTGGGCGGGAAAATCTCTCGGCCGTTTGCAAGGTGACACCTGTAGCAGGCCGTCGCCTCTCACCAAGCGACACCTGTCACAGGCGACACGTGACCAGTCACGTGCCACCTGTGAGGGGCAAATGATTCGGGGATTTTTATCCTCCAATCACCTTCTGACAAGTGGACCAACCAGGTTCCGCCACGTGTCCTTCACGTAGGCCAATAGGAGCCTGCCACGTGTCAATCACAGATTCGTCCTCTGCGGACCAATTGAGACACGCCACGTGTCCACCCATGCCAAATGGGGAAACCGGCGACCAAGGCCCAATCCTGTTTAGAGGCCCGGTCAGCCCTAGGTTTACCCTAAACCTAAAGAGTGGCACGCTTCTCAAGACTATAAATACTCTTCTTAATCCTCATTAAGAAGAGAGAGAGAAAATTACAAAAAAATACATTAATTACACACAGTAATAACCGGCTGATCTCGCTAACAAAGCAGATTACCAACACTAAGCACTCTCACCTAGAGAGACCTTATTACTTTAATTTCCGTATTAATTACTCCTTAATCAGGTACTAACTTGACCGTTGGAGGCGGAGCTCTCAGGAGTCTCCGTTATTTTGCAGGTACAGGCGTCCGGTTCCAGTCTCGGAATTGTAACTCTCCCGCAGGACATCAGAAAACCCCGAAACAGTAGTAGTAGTAGTAGTAGTAGTAGGAGGATCTGCTTTGCTCTGCTCGGCTCTGCTGAAATCTGCTCGAGGATCTGCTTTGCTCTGCTCGGCTCTGCTGAAATCTGCTCTTCTGCTGAAATCTGCTCTGTCCAGAAGCTCAAAAGAACAGGGCCTTAGTCTAGTACTTGTGGAGAAAATCACTAAATATTGCCAGAGCAATTGAGTAACTGAGATGCAATTACTAATTTGTCCAACGGACAAATTTCTAGGTGCACCACGCCTATACTTTTGAACAATCAGTAAAAAAATCTGAACAATTGCAAATTTTGAACATGTAGTAAAAACATCTGAACATCGCAAATTTTGAACATTTAGTTAAAAAATCTGAACAATTGCAATGCATCATGCCTATACTTTTGAACATTTAGTAAAAGAAATCTGAACAATCAAGAATTTTGAACATTTAGTTAAAAAATCTGAACATCACAATTTTGAACATTTAGTAAAAAAATCTGAACAATCGCAATGCACCATGCCTATAATTTTGAAATTTTAGTAAGAAAATATGAACAATAAAAGATTTTGAACATTTAGTAAAAAAATCTGAACAATCGCAAATTTTGAATTATTACGAGTCAAACAAATTTTGAACTGATTCGTAATAATTCAATAGTTTTTTAATATAAATTGAACATTTAATGTATACAAAATGATCATTTCTTGATAAAATATGAACATAAAAATTGCATGTTTATGTTCAATTTTTGTGACGTGTTCATATTCTTTTTACTAAATGTTCACTTTTTGTAAAATGTTCAAATTTTTTTACTAAATGTTCAAAAGTATAGTCATGGTGCACCTATTTCTAGGTGCACTATGGTGCATATAATACTAATTGTGTCCAAGGTTCTTATCAGCCCACGGACGAGGTGACATGGGCCAAAATCTTATTGGCACGTTATCTAGGTGACATGGACCAAAATCTTATTGGCACGTTATCTAATTTGTCCAACCATAGTACTATGCTAGTCAGTATATGTGCATCCATTTTTCGTTTTTATAGATCCAATATTCGATTGACCACAACGTACTTCTTAAGTTTTTATGTAGTACGAGTACGCTAGAAGCTCTTTCATGTAAGAGTGTAAGACTATATTCTCTTCTTTGTAATGTAACCTTAGTTTTACCTCCCAAAAGGGCACTACAGGTAAACATGAGTACATGACCAATAATTTTACTTGTAATTAAAAAAAGATGGTTTTAAAAAAAATTAAACAACTCTAGGTAAGTGGTTCTTGTTTGGCAATTGAGGATAATATTAGACCTATTTAAATTTGACTCGAATTTAGATTGTCTAAAAAGCCGTCTTAAAAATATTGGATTTGAGCACAAAATTAGAGCTCAAAATATAAAAGTAGCTAGAAAAACCAAATTCAAGAGAGTCTAACTTGACCTGAATCGAAACATTTATTATAATGATGAAAATTAAATTATCTCACCAATTTTATTTATTTATATTTTTTTTGATGCAAAAATTATCTCACCAATGTACTTAGTAACACAATTAAATTGAGGCTAAAAGTTTTATAATTCTCTCGTGCGGTCATGCCTAATTATCCAAAGCCATTATCACAACTTGAATATGTACAATTTTCAATTTTGTAATTTTGTAATTACAACTTCATTTTAAGAAGATTTAACCAGATTTGATACTATAATTATGCAATGTAATTTATTTTTTCAAATTTGAAACAGTTTAAGTGTCGTTGACCATTAGACCCGACCAACTAGCCCATAATCAAACATATTGTGTCATAATTATCAAGAATACTTAATTCCAAACCAAAACGAATCTAGCAAGAAATCAAAACCACCCGATCAATCGTTTTGACAAGTGTAACAAAAATCAATAATATGCATGGAAGACAATACCAAAAATGTCCAAAACTCACACAATCCATGACCATGACACACAATGACATGAGTTGTAAGCCTTGTAGCAAAACTAGCATGACTATCATCCTTTACCAAATAGGTGTAAGCATTCCAATCTATGCTACCACCAATCTTGCTCTCAATTATTTTTATCATTATTTAATTTTAGAAACATACTCTACACCAATTATTAAAATTCATATAAATAAGACTTTAAAATCAATTTATTACGAGGTTGAGCATTACACATAGTATCCTTTGCCCGCCTTTTTATCAATTTTTGTCGTTTATTTCTCCTAAACCGTGTGCTTCTCCTCCCATTGAATCCCTCCAAAACTAAAGGCTCCCTATATTCAACTCCGGTATAATATATCTACTCTAAATTCTAAACCACCCACATTTTCTCATTATTTATACACAACATAAACATTGACCATTTTTACATCATTCAACTCATTCATTTCGTTACTTCTTCATCCACAATTCATTAATTCGATATCATTTTTCAAAACACGACACGTTCTTGTATAAGACGGTCTTACAATAATAACACGATACAAAATGTGTCGTACCACGGAGTATTACCACGGTCAGGATCGCTTTCTTCGGTTGAAAGCCATCTCCCTCCAACTTTCTCTATCCTCCGCCACCGCCACCGCCGCCGATGTGTCTCTCCTCCCGGAATCATTGACGCTCGTTTTCCTCCCTCGGATCAACGGCGGCCTCCTCGAAATCAACGGCTCAAAAACACGCCCCGATTCTCCGGCGTTCATCACACTCCACCGCGTTCTCAAATCCGACTTCATCTTTACCTCAAGAGACCGAATCCGCGCCTGCGACGGCGTCGTTTTCGAGGTTCACCTCGCCGGAAACCGCCTCCTTCACGGAGGTTTCCGGCAACACGACGACGGAGATTTCAAAATGGAGTGCAGATTTATGGAGGAAGAGAGAGAATTCGGTGTTAGAGAAGCGGAGATTTTCGTAGTATCAGAGAATGGCGGTTTGATGAGAGAGAAAGCGGTGGCGAAGAGGCGGCGGAGGAGGAGGAATTGCCGGAAGTTTGAGGTGGCGTTGGATGAGATTCCGGAGGAGAGAGAATGTGATGTGGTGGAGGAGGAGGGATCAGGTGAGATGTGGTGTTGTTGTTGTGGTGAGGGTGAGAGTGAATCGGACGGTGGAGATGATGAAGTGGAGTTTGATCGGATGGTTGAGGAGGAAATGGAACGGGTTAGATGGGCTGTTGATGTGGGTATATGGGTTGTTTGTTTGGGTGTGGGTTTCTTGGTTTCTAAGGCTTCTACTAGAAATTTGAGGAGGAGAAAGTTTTTACTTTGAGGTTTTTGTGTAATGGATGGCTTTTTCACATAAACAATTTTGTAAATGTAAATTATGAATTATACGCTAAAATGTTTCAAGAGAAGAAATTGTCTTGGTAAATATAAAATGAAAATTTGTTGATTAATTTTTGTGTGCACTCAGCAAAATGAATTATTTTTGCTCATGATTTTTGGACAATTTTGTTTCTGTCGGGATCCGACAACTCGATTTCGAGATCCAAAGCCCGAGCCTGAAACTCGTTGAGCTCCTATCGTCTAGACGAGAACCTACACAAGGAACAGAAATTAGCTAACCCCGGGTGGATCCGGGGATAACCACTCCAACGACAAAGTCAGAAAGTGTTTAAAAAGATAAGAAGAAAGAGAAAGTATGAGAGAGAGAATAATAAATGCTACCTTATTATGGGTAAATTTTTGATTATTTATAACCCTACTAGATGACAGGTGGCTGCATGGCATGCAATCTATCACAGGCCAAGTGTCAATTTGCTGCTGCCACGTGCCAATTATTGTCGGGCCGACATGTTTGCCTTTTGCCTAAATGTCGATATGGTTCTAAATTGCTACGTATCTGTATCAGATTGAGATATCGGCCTGTTAAGTCCAGTCGGCCCGTGTTACATATCCTCCCATACAAATCTAAAATATTCTTACAAGCAAAAATTACTTTTGGATATGCTTGAGAAAGAACTAAATATACATAATTCACTTATATTATAGTGATAAGAAATGTTTGGTTATCATTAAATTGGAAACTCACAATTGTATTAGATTTGAGTACTTTATTGAATAATTGTACACTCCGTAGATACTTTATATATCTTATACGGAGTATTTTATATTAGGTTGAGAATGAATATATATAAATAGTACTCCATATTAGATTGATTAGTAGGATATATTCTATTTACCTGATTTTCACTTATCTAAACTTATTAGACCTTATGAAAATTTATTTAAATTGTAATTCGTACTTGGATAACCCTGACAAAACTTATTAAACCTAAATTTAACCGAACTTATTACACCTAAATTAAGTGAAAATACGGTGAACAAAACATACCCTAAGTCAAATTGTTGATAAAAAAAAAATACTCGGCTAATCAATTATACCCACTTATCTTACATTTAAGGGTTGTGTCACTTGGGTGCACCTCACGGTCTTGATCTTCTCAAGGCATGTACATCTCTCATGGTCTCATAATCTCGTGCACAATAGGATAATGAACAGGTGCACTTCCATGCCGTGCATAATAGGGTAATGAAAGTCTTGTGGTGATAGATGATAAAAAAGGGAACACAATTGAAAATATGCACAATTATACACCCTTGACCCTTTCTGTATGCAACTTTGACCAATTGACCTACATTAATGTGCCATCTATTCTTCAAATCTAGATAACGTAAAAGTCTTAAGACCTATCGCAATTCGCAATATACACTTTCCCAATAATTTGCAATTTCACCACTAAATTTTAGATGATCTTCATCTTTTGGGAATAATGGGCTCTGGCCGGTAACAAATACGGACTATTTGGAAAAAAAAATTGGTCTAAGCCTGGACTACCCTGTTATATTGGTTGGGCTTAAGTGTGCTTGGGTTATTAGTTTGCTATATTTGGGTAACGCAATATATCACATACTTAGGCCTTTGGGCCAAATTGTGGGGCCTAGGAAAGTGAACGAGTAAAGTGTGAATGAGGCCGTTGCTATTTCCTTTTCCAAAAGTTATAGTTGAATACAAATGGTTTTATTTTTTTTATTTTTTTTTTCGACAAAGATGTTTTTTGGCTTGTTGGTAAGCATAATTGTGATTAACTGATTATCGTCTTATCCTGAGTTAGAAGATGATGAAAGTAAGGACAATTTTCAAATGGATACAATAAAATTGTGGCCATTGTATTAAAACAAATCACAACCATTTATTTATATTGACTAACCTGAACCGTTGATATGGTTTATTTTTATTTTATTTTAAAAAAAATTGACAAAAAAAAAAAAAAAATTGTAAAAACTACCACTATCAGTTTCTTCTTTATTGATTAGTTTGTATTTTTTTCCCATTTACTTCTCTTCAATGATTCAATCTTTGCCTGTGATCCACCTATTCTGGTTATTGGCTCCAAGTTCAACCATTGTTGTCTTCTCGCAATGGATGGGATAACAAAAGCTGCATGTCTGTTTTTGTATGTGCTTTTTGCGCATGGTGATATACTGATATGGCATTAGATAAAGTCAATTGTTGCCTCTGAATCTGGCATCCAATTAAGGTTGCTTAAATTTTTTGCAATATGTATCCAAATTAAGGGCTCGTTTGGTTGAATGTAGATATTGCAAATTCCTTGGAAAATTGATTTCCCATGAAATTGAACTTCCTAGGAAATTCTAAAAAGTGTTTGGTTAACTAAGGGAAGTGGAAATTCCCATGGAAAGTTCCACTTACCTAGGTCCCCCTAGGTAATTAACTTCCCCCATTTTGTGGGAAGTGGAAATTCATGGGAATTTCTACTTCCCATGAATTTGTCAACCAAACAACTTCAAAGAAATTCAATTCCTAGGATTTCCAACTTTCCATGTTTTTATTTGTCAACCAAACAATCCTTAAAACAAAAAAGTAAAGGAAAACAATTACTGAGAAAGAAGAAATTGACAAGATCGAAAACTGATAAGAATGTGATAGTTTTAAAAAAATCTTGTTCAAATTTCTTTTTTTTAAAAATATAAATAAATAAAAAGTAACCATATCAACGGCTCACATTAATCAATAGAAATTAACGACTATGATTTGATATAATACAATGACCACAATGTTATTGTGGCCATTCAAAAGTCATCCTGAAAGTAATAGGCCAAAGAATCACTAATACAAATTTAAACTCTTAATTTTAACAGTTAAGATCGAAACTCACGTACTAATCGTAATCACTAGGTCAAATTTAGCTTCATACATGACTGCGTGTATATATGTTAGTAATATCTTCAACAACTTTTTCTTAGTTATAAACAAAGCACTAAGCAGAACAAATTACCCCAAGTAGGCCAAGATTAACCTTTCCCTTAATGCACCATCATATAAGCTTGCACGAGTAGGGTAACATCAACGAAAATGAATAACAATTGTACATAAAATTTACCCCACTAAAATAGGCATATGGCCGTTAAAAAGAGGAACCAAAAAGGCGGCAAAACACAAGATCTTCAAGTGATAGCACATGAAAGATAAAGTCAAGTTTTATGATTGGCACCGGAATAAGAGCGGGAAAGTTATGCTATTAATGGAGGGGTCATTAGGGACATTATCATTACCTACATTTTTCTTTTCCTTTTTTTGTTTTTTTACTTTGCATTCTTCCTTTTCTTTTTCTTTTTCTTTTTTTTTTTCCTAAGTATGTAAGTTGTGATTATTCATGATCAATCCATATATTCTCTTTACAATGTAACAATACAAATAGTGTACAACACATTGGCTTTTAGGTTTTTTTTTTTTTTTTTTTTTTTTTTAGTTGTAATCCCATTTAAAATGTAGCATAAACTCATAAAGATACTAATTAAGAAACCAACAACTCAATCCCTCTTATATTTATTACCCATGTGTTTTTAATGTATATTGTTAGTTGGTCTTTATATTTGGTTGTTATAATTATTAGTGGGTTAGCAAGATGAGTTGAGAGTAGTGAATAGTGATGTTCATGTAAGTTAATTCAAGTAATTAAAGCCTGAACTAAGTTTTATTAACCAAACTCAAACATATGTTCAAACTTGTCTTGTTTAATTAGGACGTTATAGTATACCATGGTGAATTTGTTCGTTTATTGACTCATGTTCATAACAAGCTTTTTACTAGTATATATAAAACTTGTATACGCTAATTTGACATTTTAGACTAAAAATCCCTAATTCAAGCATAATAACCAAATCTTCTAGCAACTAATCAACAATTGTGATTAAGTCACTGATGTTTATTAAATTAGCTTTGACCTTTTTTTAATAAACAAATTTGTTCATGAACAATAAACAAAAGTTTATTCATGATTATAAATAAACTAGATAAGCCAACTTGAGGAAAGTATTTAAACATTGGACAACTAGGCGAGTTTTGTCAAGCATGCATGATAAATCCTAAGAATGTGATTTTCCAAAACAAGTCAGGTCACATTGTTTATATTGCTCTTTTGCTCGCTTGAAAATTCTCAAACTAAGCAACCAAGTACGTAGTAATTTTTTTTACACCATACAAATAGTTGTACAATAAATATTGTCCTAAGGTCTTGCTAGCACTTGTTCAATTAATTGTACTTGTACAATACACAATACATGTTGTTTGAAGGTATTACTATTTACTAGCACATGTCCGTAGTTGGTTAAGTAATTGGCCTTGATGCTTCACTTTCTTGTACAACAATACTAGCACAAGTACTCCCTAGTTTTAAAAGATTGACCTAACACATCAATGTCTTTCCTAAAGTACATGAAAATGTTAGTAGTAGGAATAACATGCATAAAATGAAAAGAAAAAAGTGAGAAAGAGGACATGACGTAATATTGCATTAAAATGGCTCGACCTATAGTGGGCTCACTGGCTGCCTGGCTTCACTTACAAACTGTGACCACAATTTTTTGCTGGGATTAAAATTTACTTTTTTTCAAGACAAATTTAGATGCAGATGATAGTGCTCAGTAAACCCAGCAAAATAAAGACTGGAAAAAATTAGGAAACAAACAAAATAGGAAAAGATTAAAAATATAAAGGACACTTAAAGTAGAACACTGAAAGTGACACTAAAGAAATGAAGTCAAGACTCAAGAGAGATTAGATCTGGAGAAGAATAAGCTAAGATGCATATGCTTTAACCTCAACCTCAATTTCCTAGCCTTAACCTTGACATTTGGGACCCGCTTTCTCTTTCGTTTATCAACGGCTAGCATGTATGTTTGACCATATGGTCTGCAATACCATGGAGTATAACACAAGACAATCTTAGCTTGGTCACAATTTAATGCAATTAGAGAAAATAGATATTAGTACTCGTATAACTTTTCCCAACAACACATATAAATACATAATGACCCACATTGATAAAAGAAGGGACAACTAAACAAATTAGATTAAGGACTACTCCTCATATTGTCACACGGTTTTTGGGGTAAAACCTCTTTGGGTGCCACTCAAGTTGTATTATACATTGGGTATTAGAGTTAGACCGGGAATCTTACATGTGAAGGCTGAGTACTACTGCTCAAAGCCTCAAAGGCAACATATTTATACAAAATTCACTAACTTTATTTACATAATACAAACTAAGCTAAATGCATGTCCTTCATATTAGCTAAGTTGCGATAGCTAAGGCTTTTCTATCTAATGTCATTCTGCTAAAATCCTCTAATTAAATAGCACGAAAACCCTTTAGGACTAGCCAACTTTGTTTTTCTTTAATTTCAGCTCAACTCCATAGTTTGCGAGCCAATTTGCAACACGATCAGTGTCATGATAACAACGATAAATTCAATTCAACATTAGTCATCTGCGACTACTCTATATACGACATGTCTCATTACTCCCATATATAAACTTGAGGAATTCGAGTTACACGAGTACACGACTTATACCACCAACCTAGCCTAGTGTATGAAAAATGCCAAAAGGAATTTAGGCCAATGTATCACATAAAGATAGATGTAATGTAAATTATGTTAACATATTGCCACTATGTTAATAATGGCCAAGCTTTTTGGGCGGTGTGAAGAGTGACTAGAAACAAGAGTACAAGAAGAAAATGGAGGATTTCTGCCTCTCTATCTGGCGCATCACATAAACAATTTATACAACCGCCCCACACAGCAACCTTCTCTCTTCTCTTCTCTCTTCTTCCCTTTTACTTTGCTTCACTGGTCACTGTGCACTTATTAATGGACTCACTCTTTTTCTCTCTCCTAAATCCTATTCCCTTAATTTAATTCTTCCCCTTTTCCCAATCTTCCATAAAATCACTTCACACTCTTCCCATTTTCAATAAAAAGTTCCTCCATTTTTCTGTATTTTACCCCTTTTAAATATATTGGAGGGCACTTTCTGGGGTTTATTTTTCTGGGTTTTGATTCTTAGCTCTGTTTCTTGTGAAATTTCAACAAAGATCTCATCTTTTTTTTCTGGGTTTTTTGTTCCTTGCGAAAAATGGAGAGGATTAAGCTTAATTTCTTGCATTTACTCTTGCTACTTTTAGTGGGTGTTGCTGTGTGTCAGAATGATTCAGATGAAGTTTCTGGAATTTACATTGTTATTCTCAAGCAAGCTCCTTCTGCTCATCTTTACTTCAATGAATTGAGTCAAAAGCATAAACCTGGGTTCAAAAAACATACTCCCATTAAGTCAAGCACATTTCACAAACTTAGGTAAACCCATATTTTTCTTCAATTTCATTTTAGTTATGATTATTTGTCTTTTTTACTAATATATTGTGTTTCTAATTTGGGTTTTTGCACATGTATATTATTGTTAGTAATTATAATGGGATAATTTGGAGGGATTAATCATTTTTGGGATATTATTTTCAATTATTTTGGAGGGTTGTAACATAATTTGTAATTATATTCTTCAAAAAAATCATTTCTGTATAATGTATGTTACATTACATGGGATCATGGATGTGTACAACGGTCAATTTATTTGTCTTTTTTGTGAGAAATTAAGGGTTTTAGCAATTGGCCATTTGGCCCCAACTCATTTTTTTTGGATTTCTTGGATTTATTATATTAGGGGTCTTGTCTTTCTCATTTATGTCCTACCAATGCTTGTCCTTTTGACTTATTGCCAATTTATTTGATTTAGATTGATAAATATTACTATTTGTTGTTTTTTGTCAGTTGTATATTAAGATATTTGTGTTCTGTTACTTCTGTTACCTAATTTTAGATTTTTTATTTGATCCTTATTTGTTGAATACTAGGGATTTACTTTACCTTCTTGTAATATGATTTGAGCTTTCTGAATTATAATGTACCTGATTTTCCCTCCAACGATGTGAATTATTCAGGAATGACTCGAAAGTGGATCCTCATTACGGTTCGTATATTGCACGAGTACACGATTCGTTGTTGAGGAGGGCGTTGAGAGGGCAAAGATATCTGAAGCTGTATAGCTATCACTACTTGATTAATGGGTTTGCTGTGCTTGTTACCCCTGGGCAGGTATAATGTTTACCATGTTGTGTTATGCATTATGTGCACAACTTATAATGATTAATTAAAAGTCCTATTACACTTAACTTTTCATGTCTCATTCTATTGGGTTTAATGATTGTGTTCCCCACCCCCCTTTTCCCTTCCTTTGATCTTCTTTACCCATTGGTGTGCATATTGGCTGGTACAGACATGCTTAGACCCCGTTCATGAGTACAGTACACCCTCTTAAAGCTTTTCACCCGCCTTGTTAGGCAATTGTCAGACTCTCTGTTTAGGCGCATTTTAATTACATTAACTGCATATGTTTCATTGATTTTGTATGTCGTGGACGGGGATATTTTTAATGCAATAATCGTGTTTGTGTAACTTATGAAAATATATCTTGACATGGAAAGTAGATGATAATTGCCAATACTAAACCTTTTTTTTGGTCATAAATCACGGTAACTTACTGTTTGCTAATACTGACTTTATATGTAAAATTTTTAAGGCAGACAAGCTTTCTAGAAGAAGAGAAGTAGCCAATGTGGTACTAGACTTCTCTGTTAGGACTGACACTACACACACACCTGAGTTCCTAGGATTGCCTCAAGGGGCATGGCCTCAGGAAGGAGGATATGATTCTGCAGGAGAAGGGGTTGTGATTGGACTTATTGATACTGGGATCGATCCTATGCATCCAAGTTTTTCAGATTCTATGGAAGCAAATGCATATCCAGTTCCGCAACATTTCTCCGGAATCTGTGAAGTTACTAGGGATTTTCCTTCTGGTTCTTGCAACAGAAAACTTGTTGGGGCGAGGCATTTCGCTGCATCGGCCATAACAAGAGGGATTTTCAATTACAGTAAGGACTACGCATCACCTTTTGATGGTGATGGACATGGGACGTAAGTTTCTTGTGCTTTTGGGTGTTATCACATCTTTCTAGGTCATTTATTTTTTACTATTGCCCTGCATGCAGTATACTGATGCTGATGAAAGCTCATTCCTGATACCAAAGTTTGCCTAATATTTTCGAATGTATGTTTCTTGTTATCACTAGCTTATGTGATTTTATACTTGTTGCGTTGAAATTGGCTAAGAATGGATGGTGTGCTGAACCGTTAGCTGATATGATAATACGAGGGGAAAAATGATAATTGAATAGTTGATAATGAGCTTTCTTGAGGTTTATAGTAACGTATTGCATAACTGCATTTTTGAGGTTCCATATTCAGCAGTTTGATGGTTTTGCATTATTCTTATGAAAAACAAATCAATAACATCAGCACTATCACCCATTATCAATGCAGTCGAAGCAGGGGTGTGGGAATTGAATAGGTATAATTGAATAATCATTGTCAATCTATAACAATACTAACAACATTCATAATAATTGAAGTACTAATCCTCATGTTACATTTCATTCAATTTTGCATCTAGTAGGACTTATTTTCATGGGGGTCCTATGTATAATAGAAAATTAAGCTAGTGGTTTCTTTAGTGCCGTAAGTTTGTGATTTTTTTTTTCTTTTTTTCTTTTTTTTTAAAAATATAGAGAGATGGAATCATAAATTTGATGTTGCTATTCTTATGTCTGCTTCTTGGCTATGAATATAGGCATACAGCTTCAATTGCATCAGGAAACCATGGTATTCCGGTTGTTGTATCTGGGCATCTCTTTGGAAACGCAAGTGGAATGGCTCCTCGCTCACAGTAATGCATCTGAACACCTTTCTGTTGCTATCAATAATTTTACATTCCCTATAAAAAAAATTATACATTCCTTATTACGAGTATTTTTCATGGAATAGTCATTAAGGGGGATTTTGGCTTTATATTATGGGGCAAAGAATTCCTTTAATAGCAGTAGAATATCAATGATTCAGAAGCTAATTTACTTGCAAGTTCAGGTTGTTGGAATACACAATTGACGTTTTTAGCTAATTGTTTTCAAAAGCAACTTGCATATTCTAGGTGGTGTCTGGTTGCTGTTTCATTTTGGAGCATTAAATTTCTCATGTTGGTTTCATACGTTCCTGCTATATTTAGATTATAGAAATTAATAAAACACAACTCGTTTAATATCTCAGCTATTTCCTCAACTTATATAAGCCGTCAACCAATTGTCTCATATAGTCATATCTAGGCTGGTTGGCCTATATAAATCCCTTGTTGTTGGCTAACAATTATATATGAGTGTCGATGTAGAAAGCTCAGATTAAGATTATTTTCTGCCTTTTTGGTTTACTTATTCTTTCAGAATAACCATTAGCTATTATGACAAATGTTCCTTTATACCATCTTCAGGAGTTGAATGAATTTATTGATCATACATTCACACAATTTATTTCACTCTTTTCAGTGTTGCTATATACAAGGCATTGTACAAGGGTTTCGGTGGATTTGCTGCTGATGTAGTTGCAGCCATAGACCAGGTACCTATCAGTTATTCATTATGATGATATGATACAAATTTCTAGTCTCCTCAAGTATGACGGAGGACACTGCATTTGTACCCAAGTGACAGATATCAGAAATTCTCCCTTGGAAAATGTAAAGGGACAACTACAAGACTGTGGTCTCTGAAAATGATATGTTTGCATGGTCATTTTCTCCATTGTGTCACTCTAGAAGGGGGAAGGGTGTGTGTGACTGTGATAGTGTCATGCAAGACTACTTGTTTCATAAATATTATTCTTTGTTAGCTCATTTAGTTGTTTCCTAAAACTCGTTAGCAGTCTAGTTCAATAAAAAAAATTTGCTCTTATAAAAACCCTGATGATGAATTTCTTCTTTCCTCTTTACTAACTGTGTAGGTTCATACTCATTTATGCAGGCAGCTCAGGATGGTGTTGACATTCTTAGCTTATCGATCACACCCAATAGGCGTCCTCCAGGAGTTGCCACATTCTTCAATCCTATAGACATGGCCTTGTTAACAGCTGTCAAAGTTGGTATATTTGTAGTACAAGCAGCCGGAAACACTGGTCCAGCTCCTCGCAGTATTTCTTCCTTTAGCCCATGGATCTTCACAGTAGGTGCTGCTTCTCATGACAGAGTTTATAATAACTACATATCTCTTGGCAACAATGTGACCTTATCTGGGACTGGACTTGCATGTAAGTCTGAAGCTTTACCATATGCATTTATGATAGTATTGTTTTTTTCTTTTTTGGAAAACCCAACTTGTGATAGCTCCATTGTCCACAAATGGGCTATAAGTTAAGATTAGACTCTAGTTATTCAGCTCAATTTATGATAGTAGTGTTTTGTTGAATGGTACTGCTATGATCTGTGTTAATATAATTATTGATAAGGGTGTTACTGTTGTGGTTGAACTTAAGAACATCCTTAGAATTTGAGAGGAGTTGCTGGTTCATGGGATTTGGTATCTGTTTCTCGCTTTCCTGTTGAACTCATGAAGTCAGGTTTTTTTTGGGTGAATTGACATCCGTAACACCTATGTGTTAGTAATGTGTGCATTGGTCCATGGGGTAGTAGTGCTTAATACTCCAGTACTGCTATAATCAAAAGACTTAATATCATAAAGGTTGTGCAACTTTCTATTATTTGGTCTTGGTTGTAATTTCTAGCTGGTGTTTCAGTTAGCAATAACAATTAATAAGGATTGTTATCCAGCAAGCTTGAATTAGACTAAATAAGTATATTTTTCCTGTTTATTTGATTCTGTATTTGGCCATCACAAAATTCAAGCTACTCATTCTTTTCTTTATCTGAATTTTTATCTGGTTCACAGCGGGTACAAATGACACTATGTATACATTGATCTCTGCTGCGCATGCTTTGAGCAATGATACTGCTGCTCCAACTGATATGTACGTTGGGGAATGTCAAAATCCCAGTAGTTTAAATCCAGACCTTGTTGCTGGAAACCTTTTGATCTGTAGTTACTCAGTACGTTTCGTGCTAGGAGTTTCCACCATCAAACAGGCTTTGCAGACTGCCAAGAACCTTAGTGCAGCTGGTGTTGTGTTTTACTTGGATCCTTTTGTTTTAGGGTTTCAGATAAACCCAACTCCTATGGATATGCCAGGCATCATAATTCCTTCAGCAAATGATTCCAAGGTACCCTTTTTATTTATTTATTTTTTGAAGCATGTACGGACAGTCTATAATTTCCTGCTTCTAAGCGTACCTACATTCGTCTCAAATTGTCAATAAGATTATAAGAGATCTTTGCCTGTGCAACTGCACTGTATCTTCCGTTCATCCTCATCAATAATTTTTTTTTTCCTTTGACAGGTGTTACTCCAATATTACAATACCTCTTTGGTGAGAGATGGGACCACCAAAAAAGTTGTAAAATTTGGAGCGGTAGCCAGCATTTCTGGTGGACTGAAGCCAGATTTCAGTTATTCTGCTCCGAAGGTGATGTACTACTCTGCTAGAGGTCCAGATCCAGAAGACAATTCTCTTGATAATGCAGATATACTGAAACCAAATCTGGTTGCTCCAGGAAATTCAATTTGGGGTGCTTGGAGCTCACTTGGTACTGATTCTACTGAATTTCTAGGTATATATCCATTTACATGGTGTCTTGCTGATAATGAATATGGGTAAATCTTAGGTGAAACTGACTTTCTTGCTTCAAAATGTAAATTGTATAGGGGAGGAGTTTGCTATGGTGTCTGGGACAAGCATGGCTGCTCCTCATGTTGCAGGACTGGCAGCTTTAATTAAGAAGAAATTCCCTACTTTCAGTCCAGCAGCTATTGCCTCTGCTCTTTCGACGACAGCTTCACTTCGTGATAAGAATGGAGGGCCAATCATGGCCCAGCGTGCTTATTCTAACCCAGATGTGAACACATCTCCTGCAACTCCATTTGACATGGGCAATGGATTTGTTAATGCAACTGCTGCTCTAGATCCAGGACTCATCTTCGATTCAAGTAAGTCTCACATTTTGGAAAACTATAATATGCTACTGTCGCCAATAAGGTTTAATAATGAACTGCTAATGATTCTTCCTTCTATTATTTGTATTATTTTTTTTTATTTTTTTTGACGATGTTATTTGTAATCTGAAGTGATAATGAATATGGTCATATAATTTCTCATGCTTCACAAGCTAAACTGGGATGCAGATGTGAATTAATCTTGTAATTCCGTGGAACATTGGCAAAGGAATTTTAAATGCCGCCATATTAGGATATAACTAGGCTTAGCCCCGATTATATGACTCAAATTTTGCACTTAGTGAGGGATCTAATTTGAACACAGGCAAATAAATATCAATATGGGTTCATGTTTGAGTTCTCTGCACTAAAGTGATTTGAAGCAATGTCGAATGCAGTTGAATAAGATGTATCTAACTCCATGCATCTTTAAAGAAACGTCTTTTATAACCTGTCAGAATTGCGATTTTGTTTGATAATGGTCTGGTAACGAGTCATCTCTGAGGCTCAATTTATGTTATAAGTTTGATGCCGTGGTAATGTGGTATGGAATGACGAAATAGTGACACCAACAGTGTTATAAATCTGACAAATGTACACTTTTTCAGACAATTATTTCGGTATTACCTTTTGATATTTCTTTGCCATCATCTTTGCTGCGCAATAAAATCTGACATATATGCACTTTTTGATGCTGCAGCCTATGATGATTTGGTTTCCTTCCTTTGTGGTATAAATGGTTCAGCTCCAGTAGTGTTAAACTACACAGGTCAGACCTGTGATGGGATTCCTACTATGATTGGCTCAGACTTGAACTTACCCTCTATTACAATCGGGACACTAAACCAAACTAGAGATGTCAATCGAACAGTTTTAAATGTTGGTGTGAATGAAACTTTTCGTGTTGGTTGGAGCGCTCCTTATGGTGTTTCTATGAAGGTTGAGCCCACACACTTTGTCATTGCAGCTGGAGAGAAACAGGTACTGACTGTATCTCTGAATGCTACTATGAACAGTACTGCTGCTAGTTATGGTAGGATAGGTCTTTTTGGGGATCAAGGTCACACTATAAACATTCCTTTATCCGTCATCTTTAAATACTCTTACAATGTAAGTAGCAGTTGATGACTATGAAAATGATTATTTCTTCTATTGTCCGAGCATGGAGGTCGGCTAATTGTATCTTACTAATCTTTTCACGGGGGTGCTGATTAATTTTTTTTGATTCAATACATGTAAAGTAGTTGTACTATGTTCAGAATGTAGATATGTGAGTGTATGATAATTAAAAAGAAAACATTCTATTTCTGCACCTTTCCATTAATATATTAAGAGTAAAAGTTCTTACAATGTACTACTAGTAGATGTGGCTAGTCCAAACAATGATATTTTCAAATAGATTATTGAGTATAATGATCTAAGAATGAAAAGCGTCAGTCTTTTTTCTTTATTCTTCCATTTAGCTGCTTCTTCTGTGGAGAGAATCAGGGGTTCAGGGTTTCATCATTACCTGGAGTCATTGTTGTTGAATTCTGTGGCATCATTTTAGCCGGTGGATTGGGGAAGCTGGGTGGAACGCCGCTTGGGGTACCGGGGATGGGACCTGAAGGATTGGACGGTCCTGTGGGTATCGGTGAAGGGATGGTGGGCATTGAAGGGTAGGTAGGTAAGTTGGGGAAGGGATATAGGGGGAGAAAGTGAGGTGGAAGAAGCGGTTTGTGAAATGCTGGAAAAGCCATAGATGCTGAAGGCTTATTTTGAGAGGGTGCTGCCATGGCTGGCTGTCCAATCTGGGGTGATGGATCGGGTAAGTTATTCTGTAGCAAACGACGGGCAGCCACATGGTGCGAAGTGAAGCAAGCAACCAGCAAAAGAGCTAGGAAAATGATCGTATGAGACATCTTTGTTGATATTCTTTGATTCAAGGATTTAAACAGATGATGAAAGGGTTGTTTTCGAGTCGAGGTTAAGTGCTTCTGACTTTTGAATCTGAAAGAGGGTTATATACTTATATAGAGTGTGCTGGAGAGGGTTGAAATGATGCATTGCATGGTGTTTCTAATCCAAACCTAATACATTAAATCAGGTTTTGCATGTTATTACAAGGGTAATATAGATAGACAAAAAGAGAGTTCACATGTTCTGTATGAAGTTTGACTAACTTATAATGTCAAGTAGGGAAAAATGTTATAGGTGTTGCAAAATTTGCAATTTCTAACATTTTCTGCATATAGTGCCAAGTTTTTTGTAAGAACAGACAGAGAAAGAAAGAGGGGGGGAGGGGGAGTTATCTCGTAGGTGATTCTAACATCTTGTTTGGTTGTTGATAGGTACTCCGTAATAAATAGTGGTAATGGTAATGATTTTATATTGTTAAAAAAAAAAAAAACCGCGTTAGCACCCATGGCCATGGTAATGCTATTTCCTCAAATATTTTATTCAAAATTTTCATTACCACTGTAAAGATGGTATTATGTGGTAATGAAATTTGTGAACAATAAACACATGTTTGGAGAATTGAAGGTAAGGTTCCATTGATAGCGATGAAAATAAAATTTCTTAGCAAAATTACATATACAAATCTATTACCATTCCCACAATTAATGACCACTCACCATGGGTACAATAAGAGATTGAGAAATTAGTTTTTAGTGGCTTAGTGTCAGACTAAGAGTAGGGGAAGGGATGAGGGGATACAAGATTTTTTCGCTGGCACACTTGATGATTATACTCCTTCCGGTTCACAATGTAGGTCGTTTTAGCTGTAGTTTATTAATTCAAAATTTAGACTACCTTAGGTTTTTGGCGGAGTGTGTAATACATTTTTATTTTTAAATTCACACAATCTTGTTATAATGTACTAGGTGTGATTCAAATCTCAGAAACAGAAACCCAAAACTAGAAAAATCTGTAATTCTAATGTTTGCTGTTGTGCTGGTGTCATTAACACAAAGCACACTGCATACAGAGGATTTTACACAATGCACATTACAATTCTGGAGGAGATGTATGAACTGCCATTCGTAAATGGTGAATCTCCTCCTTGGAGCCTGAGTTGCTATCTCTGGCTCTCTGCATATGCTGTCCCTGGCTTGAATTAGTTTGTCTCGACGTAGTTACATTTCTCATCCTCTTTAGCATACACGGATACACCCCAAGCTCAAATTTCGAACATCATCCATATTCCATACTACACTTCCCTACTCTGTGTCTAGTCTCGACGTAGTTTGTTCTATGAGAAGTTGAGGACTTATTATAGTGCAGAATAACATAAAAGTAAAACACGCGAGATTTTAACATGGTTCTATACATTTTATGCATTCTTGGTTAAGTAAAAAGTTCTCTGAACTCATCTAGTGAAGAAGTTACAAAGCCAACTCTAATCCCCCAAAAGTCCTTAGATACTGATAATGAGTTCCAAGATCCTGATAAACTCGAAGACATACTGATGGAGTGAAATGAGAGTGTGTGTATCAAATTCCAGAGTGCAGAAATCATCGACTCTGTATAGACTCTCTAAGTAGACTATAAGTAGTTATCCTGTAGTAAATGAGGCTTGTGCTGTTTTCATCTAGGAACTAACGCGACATGCCTCTCAGATGGGATGACTGTTCTGCCTTAAATCTTGTTAATTTCATGAAAGGAGTTGATTGTTTGGAGGTAAAGTAGTAATAGTCCTGATAAGTTATAACATGTACATATACAAGTATATTATCAATTAGTTGAAAAGAAAATTATATATTTTTTGCAGCTTTCTATTAATGTATTGGAAGTAAAAGTTCTTACAAAGTACTACTAGTAGTCTAGTAGATATGGCTAGTCCAAACAAAGCTAAATTTCTAATACATTATTGAATACAATTATCTAAGTATGAGTCCCGTGGGAGACCGGCTTATATTATTACATCAGATCAGTTTTCTGCTTCTGTGAGACGTTTCAGATTCAGGGGTTCATATTGGGAGTACTTGACGGATTCTCTGTTGTAAAGTTAGGTGGTGGAATGGGAAAGCTAGGTGGTACGCTGCCCGGGATACTGGGGAGGGATCCTGTGGGAATCGTAGGGAATGTCGGTCCTGTAGGCGTGGGCAGTGAAGGGATATTAGGCAGGCTGGGGAAGGGGATAATTGGGAAGAAGTGTGGTGGAACAAGTGGTTCCTGAAATGTAGGGAATGTCAGTGATCCTGGAGTTTTTCCGAGTGAGGGTGTTGGTAGAGTTGGTAGTCCGAGCTGGGAAGACGGATCGAATAGGCTCATTTGTAGCAAATGGCGTGCAGTTGCTTGGCCTGAAGTGAAGCAAGCAATCAATGAGAGAGCAAGAAAGAAATTTCGCCGTGTAGTGCAAGGCATTTTTGGTGATGTTCTTTGAGCTCAAAATACTAATAGGGAATAAAGATGTAGGTTTCTAATAAGGCAATGCTTAGTGACATTAAGTTAATGAGTATGAAAGGAGTTTTATATTGTGTAAAAGTGTTTAAATGATGCATTGCATGGTAATTCTAATCCAAACCTAATAGTTTCAAAGTCAAGTTCACAAGTTATCTATGAAGTTTGACTAACTTCTTTTGTTGAAGGGAAAAAAACCAGTTTTGTTCAAGTAGTGTGAGATTTCAAAGTCACAATTGTTGGGAATTAAGAACAACTAGCTAGGTAGATCGGAAGAGAGTCTCTCGACAAGTGGTTTTATTTTCTTCAAGGGGCTTTTTCCCTATTATTCCATCTTTTCGTGCAGATTTAGTTGTCACATTACTAGTTTAAATTATACTTTGTTGTGTGTTACAATTTTATATTGGACGAAGACATTTTATAAATTCAGAACCTAATTAAGTCAGCTAATTTATAGTTCCTACTAATAAAGAATCTAATACAATGCAGAGACTTGAGAACCCAGAAAGGTTGAACTACTAAATAAAAAAACATTGAAAGTCAGAAGCAATAATCTTCAACATTAAAAAATTCCTGCACATAAATTTTTAACCAAGATTTAATAATTTTATCAAAACTACAGTGTATAATAATTTGTAATAGATAAAAGATAATAAAAAGAAAATTGTTACAGAAAAGATAGAGAGAATATATAAAAATTATGAAGAAAAGAAAGAAAGGAAGCTTCTTTAACACAATGGAAATCATATTAATCTCTGCAATTTTTTTTATATCATTCATATTCATAATAATAGATTGACAATATATAAATGTGATAGCTAGTCAAATATAAAAGGATGGTAAGATGGCTACAGTTTTGAATTTTCGATAAAGCTACTGCTAAATCATCTCCAAAACCTTCACCTTAATCCAAACCACACCTACTGTAAATATAAATACTGAAAGAAAAATTTCTTATTCGAATTTAGTTTGCAGAGACATTTTGAAGTAATCCCTTAAGGCTTGCTGTTGCTACTGCTGCTTTCAGCTGAATTCTCATTCTGATCATGCAGTTGGCGCAGTTCCTGTGACCTCTGCACCATTCTTCTCATGATCGACGTCTGATAATAAGGAATGTCATCAGGCGGAGCAGAACCAGAAGCACCATCAGGTATGAGAGCTTGAGTTGAAGCTCTCTGATCAAAAAGTGTCTTACACCTTGAAAGCATAAAAGCTTTTCCTCTCGCTTCAAATTCTGCCCTACTCTTCATCTTCTCTTGTATCGCTTTCAAATCCTTTTGCAATTGTTCACAGAAAGGATCCCTTGCCTCTCCTGAGGCTGTCTGCATCAGATTTGTTTTATCCTGCTCAAGAAATGATACAGCTTCGCTTAGCTCTCCTCGTACTGCCATTGCTTCTGCCTTGGAAATGTTTTCTGCTATTCCAATGCGGATTATCTCTCTATCTACCTCTCTCAGCATGTCTTTTGTTGAAACGTCCTCAGCTGGTGGCCGGGGAATTTCAACACAGATGATGTCAGACGTTATGTATAGGTTAGACAGTGGGTCTTTGTAGGAACAATTGACCTCTAACAACCGCGTTGTTGAGGTCTCCTGATCAGCTGGTGGGACTGAGACACACACCAGGAACATTCTCTTTTCTTCCGAGTACAAATCCACCATATGTATCACTCCATGTATCCCATCAGCATTGATACAGCTGCGATACCTGCTGGAGAAGATGCACTTAATTTGAACCCCTGGAGAGACACATCTCACTTTTAATTCCACTTCTTGTGCCTTAGCACTAAACAATCCGCCTATGCACTGAGCAAAGGCGTCTTGGATAGTATCAATTGACTCGATATATGAGAAGGTCCCGCCTGAACCATCTGCTATGGCGTGCAGGGCAGTAGCATTGTGGTCATGACCAAGCCCAAATGTGTGTACAGGAACTGCACCAGTTTGCGAAACAGATATTGATGAGTCATTAGTACGGAGGTAAAGCGGGAGAGTTTTGAGGGCGTCAAGGGAATCTGTATATCTTCTGTCTTGACCGTCAGAAAGAAGAATAATACTTGAGACTGGGTTCATTTCACTCCTCTTCTCCAGGATCACCGCGGCTGTTTTCAGTCCTGCAATGATGTTAGTAGAGTCATGGGTGTGCTTGAACTGGATAGTGTTAACTCGCCTTACATCAGTCATCCCACTAAGTTGGGTCAGTTGTTGTTTTGAGTTAACAAATGTGATGATAGACAGCTGGTCTGAAGGGCCAAGGTTGTCGACAACAAACTTTATTGCCTGCTTGGCGAGCCTGATCTTTTCACCACCCATACTGTCACTCACATCTAGAATTGCAATGAGATCGAGTGGGGCATGGTCAATCTGCCTAGGGGCCTGAAGGCTGATGAGGACAGCAAAATTGTCGGATTGTTTGGAGTTGCTTAGTACAGGGTACTGAGGTAAGCCTGTTACTATCATGTTAGCATTGTGAGGGTGTGTTGAGGTTGGAAAGGAGTCGGTGTTGGTGTTGTTGATGGGTGCCTCAGGGGTAGGGGTAGGGGTGGGGGCAGGGAGGGGTTCGCCATCTGCGAAGGAAGTAGGCTCCAAGGTAAGTGGTGAATATGATTGTATCATTTGTATGAAGAGGTCTGTCCAAGTAGTGCGACAAGTAGGGCAAACGCGACAGCCAAGCTTAACCCTGGAAGCAATGCAGCTGATATGGAAATCATGAGAACACTCTGCTGTAAACAAATCCTTGCCTTGCCCTATAACCATCTTTTCAAAGCATATGTCACATAGTTCCTAAGGCATCACAACAACAACATTATAAAATCAATGAGTTGTATATATACATCACCAGTTCATCAAAGATAAAAGAAATCCATTTAAACATAAAAAAGGAACCTGAAAAATACAGGGGTAGATATATACTACAGCATGAATCATGTATTTCTTACAACTTAACTATGTTTGTCAAAAAAAATTTAAGGTGATAAGTATGTAATACATAAAAATCATATACGAAGTATATTTCTTGAAATCTATAGCTAGTCAACATTTAATTACTAGGGAAAAAACCGATACAAAGTTAGATTCTCATTTACATTTGAAATAAATAGATTATACAATCTGATCATAGAAGTTGAAACATAAAATTCTGATTAAGTTTCAATGATTTAGTACGTACATGTGTTTAAATATTTATTAATTTTGATTAATCAATCAAATTATATAATTGAACCAACAAAACAAACTGTTCTTGGAGCAATTTGAAATTCCAAGTTTATCTCATTGATTTACATATTAATTGAATTGACAACTCTATATGACTATATCGAACCTAAAAATATACGTAAATTCATTATGAATGAAAGTGCAACCTACATCAATTGTCAGAATTTGACATGAAAAAAATTATCCAACAAAAGAACATGCACCAAACACACACCAATTTGAGCAAATTCACTCTAGAGTTTGGACTTGGACATGAACAAATCAATAATAATAACAACTCTCTAAAATAACTAATCAGTCAAAATTATTACTCTTAAAACTTCTCAATTACATGCTTATCATCTTTACATATAACATAAGTACATAAAATATATGAATATGCAGAATTACAACTATCACAATCTCAATTACATTGCATTTGTCAAAAAAAAAAAAAAAAACAATCACAAAAAAAAAAAAAAGAAAAAAATGTACACCAAAATGGTGTAAATAAAACATAAAGAAACTGGTTAAGATTAATAAGAACTAATGTATAATAATAAATAAGGAGTAATTCAGTTTACCTTGGTTTTGGTCTCCATTTTTTTCAAAGCACTCTAAACAAATTTTTCTCCCTAACAAAGATAAATGGACTAACTCTCTCACTTTCTTTGAGATAGTAGAGAAAAATTGACTTGGTGTGTTAGACTTAGATGGCTACTAGCTTGGTGTTTATATAGCTGTCCAAATAATGCCTTTGGTTTGGTCACTAAGGATTTAGAGCTACACATATCAATATCTTATTGTTTAATTACATTACGTGTCAAAGATCAGTCAGATACGGATCACACAATATGTAAAACTCTGGATATTTAGGCATAATCTCATATTTCTAAGTTTTACAAAGATAATCAATAATGATTTTGTCTTTTGACGTCAGTAAATCAATAATGATTTTGTCTTTTGACGTCAGTAAATCAATAATGATTTTGTCTTTTGACGTCATTAAATCAGCAATGATTTTATATTTTCACGCGCTGCCAACAAGGTTTTTTAGGATTTTATCAAAAAATCATCTAGAAAGTTCATGAATAATTGATTAGTATTGTATGTGTGAGTATGTAACGAGAAATTGATTATGCCCTTTTCATGTGAGTAAATCAAGAATGATTTTGCATTTTCACGCGCTGCCAACAAAGTTTTCCATGATTTTATCAAAAAGTCATCTAGAAAAGTTCATCAATAATTAATTAGTGTATGAGTAACAAGAAATTGATTAGTATATGAGTTATAAGAACCCAAAAATTAGTGATTATGTTGATGTCAATATGTAATAATTTGCCTATGCTCATTTCTATTCACCATGATTTCATTAATATAATAATTATTATTTTTTAGTTTTTATTTTTATTTTTTATTTTTTTTATTGTTATTAGCACTTCTTTAGTGTAAATTGAACTTGGTAATCCTTATTAACATATTACCAAAACTTATCCTTTTCCAAAGTTATCTTAACTTATAACTCTATCTGTTTTTTTTGAAGTGTTACAATTAGTCAATTACATACTAATTTTTTAGGGTTACACTTCTATATATTTTTTTGGGCAAAATTCTACCTTTTAATACTAGTAATCTGTATATCTCTCTTTCCACTCACCCTCATAACTTTTTTTTCCCCTTCATATATTTCTATAAATTATTAACTTCACAGTACAACTTAGGGCATGTTCACATTTACTTAATTTCAGTTCAGTTCAGTTCTGTTCAGCTCCAATCAGTTCAATTCAGTTCAGTTCAGTTCAGCTTAATTCAGTTCAACTCCTAATTTTCCTCTCTCATAAAATATTCATTTCAGCTTAGTTCAGTTAAGTTCAGCTCCAATCAGTTCAGTTCAGCTCCAATCAGTTCAATTCAGTTTAGCTCTAATCAGTTTAGTTCAGTTCAACTCAATTTAGTAAATGTGAACAGACCCTTAATCTAAGTGCTAGTTAAAGTGTAACCTTTATTTAAAAACGTAAAGAGGGAGCATCGATCTCTTACATGAACTTATTAGTGTTATTGTTAATGTTTAATTTGTTCACTATGTTTCATGATAATTATTGACTCTGTCAAACTTGACATGCAAATGCATATGTTTAACGAGTTGTGCCTAGTTAATCTCCCAAGTAAACAAAATTTGTTTTGTTTATAATCGTCTACATGCGTTTTTTCATGTACTAGTTGAGGGGTACATGTGTAATTTCCCCACAAAACATTAAATGCAAGTTGCAACTAGTATTTGGACAGCTCACCAAAAGTACTGAATAAATGACCCCGCTTTTTAATATATTTACATAAATACCACCAGATTAACAAATTATACGGGTGAAAACAAATTATATGTAGCAGTTGGAAACGAGATTGAAGAAGCAACATCAATCCTATTGGGCAATAATGTTTACAAGAGGGGAGATCTGTGTAATTCATGTTCATGTGCCTGTCCAAAATATCCATCAACCAATAAGTAATTGCGATTACCCTTTTCGTGGTGGTTGATATCTTAGGTTTGCTGTTTGCTGTTTGCAGAATCATTAGTTTGTATATTCCTACATTCCAATTTTACTTTTGCTTTTGTTTTTGCTTAGATTTTTTATTTCTAAATGATCAAATTTTTCAAAAAAAAAAAAAAAAAGAAAAAAAGAATTTGAATCATGCTAATCACCCTAATTTAAATTATTGCAGATGGTTTTCGAGCACCTTCATGGGCTGTCAGAGATGGAGCACTCAAAGAACAGGAAAGAAAGGTGGACAAAATGTTAGATAATTGTATTAAGAGGTGTGCCAGAAATGATGTATGATCTCATTATCCCCTTTTCTTAAGGCACAATTTATATCTCATATAAATTCATAATCCTTTAAGATAGCACAAAGTAGAAGTTGAATTATTATACTCTCAAGATTCAAAACTTTAGAATAAGGAATGAGCCAAACGAAAACTGTTTTTGATTTTGAAAGTGCTCGTGTGGATATGTCCAAACAACCTTGGAATTTCTGTATAAACAGTTTCAAGGAAACAACAGAAGTTATTGTCTAAAGCTTGGCCAAAGAATCTCTTTCTTTGGTGTATATGTGAGTCTTGTTTAAAAATCAAAGGTTTCAATGTTGATATGTTATGTGTGTGGCTCTTTCCATCCACCTTAAGCAATTGCATTTATGGGCTCTCTTCCACAGTCTCACCCCCTTCTCTTCATTCATATCTCAATCTATCATTTTTGTGGTCCTTTTGGGCAGGTTCTGTTTGAAAATATAATTTTCAAGAAGGAATCAGTAACTGATGGAATTTTGGAACTCATATCTAAGCTAGGGATACGGAAATTGGTGATGGGTGCAGGAGCGAACAACATCTATTTGAGGTGTAGATACAGATTTTGCTTTGCTTTTCCGTTTTTTTTTTTTTTTTTTTTTTTTTTTTTCTGTTATGCTTTCTATGTTACGGTCTTGATTTTATTGTAACAACTAATGATAATAGTGACCACGTTATATTCACTATGCTGTGACAAGAACTACATGTTTTGACACAATTACAATTCAATGATTCAACCTATAGACTAAAATGTATTTTTTTGTTGCCTTAATATTGCAAGAGAAGTGCAAGCCTTCCCTCAAGAAAGTCTAATTACGTGCTCCTGGTTTCTGTCATATCTTCTTTGTAAGCAATGGTCTTCTGATCTGTATGAGGTATATATATGGTACAAAGAAAATTTCCGTTGTTAATAGCTGTTTAATTTCCATATCACCTAAACTGTTGCTATATTAGGAGATGCCTTTATTTTGTACTTTGAAGTCTGAACATCTTAAAATAGCATACTTGACTATCAATTATGGATCGGGGGAGTATGATAGAAACATGCTTGTTCATTGTGTGTTCAATGTAAAGCTTTTGAAGTGATTTGGAACATAAGTGTTGCTTAGGCTGGTAGATTAGTATCCTTACGAATTATTTGGTTGAAGATGCATGGCTAGATACCAGATAAGACTGGCAGTCTGCGGTAGTGCGGTAGCAACCATGTACCTTTACCCCTGAATAATAGGATATCTTCTAATGAAAGAAAATGCAATTTGTGAGAAAATAATATTGAATGCAAATACTAATTTCAGCAACATAAATGTAGGGAATTGGAAGAGGAGTTGCAGAAGTACAGGAAACAACGAGATGATGTGAAAATGGAGTTGCAGAAGTACAAGAATCAATTTGATGAAGTGAATATGGAGTCTGATGATTCCCAGAAAGCATCAAGATCAAATATTCCTGCAATTTCCGGTGAGTTCTCACAATTAGATCTTGTGGAAGCTACTAAGTTCTTTGATCCATCATTGAGAATTTGGAAAGGATATAATGGTAATGTGTACAAAGGCTTCCTACATGACTGTGAATTGGCAACACAGACACCTATACCTTATAGGTTGCAGTATATTACAGAGTTTAAACAAGAGGTAACAATATTCATCAAGAGTTATATGTCTATATCTGTCATACTTCATCTTATGGACTTAAGAACATACCCTTTTATTTCTTTTAAAGAGAGTAGGTGTATAATTTCCATAATGTAGATAGTATGGGCCTATGGTTGCTCCATTTCTTGTTGTTTATTTGTTCCTGACTATTTCAGTCATACAAAATTAATTTAATGTTTGATGCAATGTAAATTTTAAAAAATTTATTATTTTAATTGTAACTTGCTTCTGCTTGCATCAATTGTACTAAGTAGGTTGATTTTTTAAGCAAGCTACATCATCCAAACGTGGTGAAACTCATTGGTGCCTGCCTAGATCCCTTGGCTCTCATCTATGAGCATCTTCCCAAGGAAGTCTTGAAGACCGACTTAGTTGCAAGGGAAATACTCCCCCCTTACCATGGCAAACAAGAATCAGTATAGCAACTGAGATATGCTCAGTGCTTAACTTCCTCCATTCCATCCAACCTTGCAGCATTATACTCGGTAATGTAAACCCAAATAATATACTTCTTGATGCCAATTTTAGATGTAAGCTCAGTGTATTTGGCCATATCATCCCAAACAATAGGCAGACTCTTACAACTGATGAGCAGAGCGATTCTTACACAGACCCTGATTTTCAAGGAGAACATCTTTCTCCTAAATCTGATGTATATTCTTTTGGAATTATATTGTTGCGCTTATTAACTGGAAGACCTGCCTTGAGGATAGTGGAGGAGGTTCAGCATACTCTAGAGAATGGTCGTCTCTATAGCATCTTGGATTCGTCTGCTGGTGACTGGCCGATCACACAAGCAAATCACCTGGCTTACATGGCTTGGAAGTGCTGTCATGTCAAAGCAAAATGCCGACCAGACCTTGATTAAGAGACATGGAGTGTTCTGAAAGAAATGATGATGCCATGTAAAAGCTCATCTAACCCTCCTGGTGACAAAGTACCCTCTTATTTCATTTGCCCCATTTCTCAGGTTCGTTTACCTTGGATCAAACCTTGTATCATGAGTTCATGTTTTTTAATCTTCTTTTTGTTTTTCTATGAACTTTATTTTACTTGTAGATATCCTATGACTTTATCTGAATTAGCTACTTGAATGTAGGAAATAATGTGGGATCCACATATGGCTGCTGATGGATCTACATACGAAGCAGATGCTGTTAGACGGTAGTTTGATGGTGGTCATGATACTTCACCAATGACTAATCTTAAACTTGATGACCAAAAACTTATTCCTAACCGAGCTCTACGATCTGCAATTCAGGATTGGCTTCAGCAGCACCAACAGTTATTCATCTGACCTACTTTAGCTTGCCAATTCTCCTTTACTAAAATCAGGCATTGTTTGAATTATGTACAGCATGGATGTGATTTGAGGGTTCTTAAGTAGAGATGTTTTTTTATCATTATATTGTGTAGCAATCAAAGGCATATCTTTTGCTTGCAGGGTGTAGCAATCATGTGTATGATGACTTGTTCAACTTTGTTAATAAATTATTTCAGTTTGCTCATAATAAGAATCTCCCTGAACTTGGATTGGGTATATGGAAGAATCTAAGAGCTCATAAATTAATATAATCAAATTTAGTTTGTAAAAGCCAATTTTGTTCCATAAAATTAAATTTCAGTTGTTAGAAATCAAGAATTTTACTGCTTACCGTACTTATTGGTGGCGGATCCATATAGTATTAATTTCACCGGTTCACATATGAAGTAGAGTATGCAGCTGGTTATTGTGTTGTAGGGTGTGGTGAAAGTGGGTCCGGCAATGGTGGCGGCTGGTTAGGGAGTTAGTCCATATGGTCCAGTCTATATGCATCATATCTCTGTAATATAAATTACATTTGTCATTTTTACATGAGATTTGATGACTGATTCTGTCAACGGAGTCACTATCCAAGAAATGCATATAGACTGGATCAAAGTAGTCCAGTTTTTGTTGAAGTAGTAATAGTATTAGTTGTAATAATCTCGATTAATATTTTAATACACTAATTAAATTCTATGACTTTGACAGCTTAATTGCTCTTCTATTAAGTTTATTTCAGTTGAATTTTATTAATTTCTTGTCTTCTAATTATGGATGATCATAACAAGCTATATGTGGCAGTTGGGAAAGAAGAGGGTGATGATAGAAAATCAGTTCTAAACTGGGCTTTAAAGTTTTGGAATGGGGAGACCATTTGTGCTGTTCATGTTCATGTGCCTACCCAAAAGACTCGCCAACAAACAAGTAATTATAAAATCATTCATTTGTAACTTCCAACTTTTCGATTTGATGTTTCTTTTTTTCAATTATTTGCTTGGATTTTCATTTTTCTTGATGATACAATTTGAATGTAGGATATGGTTTTCGATCTCCTTTAAAGACAGTCAGAGGAGTGGAGGTCAATCAAGAGTTGGAAAGACTAAAGGTCGAAGAAATGTTAGATGATTCTCTTAATATGTTTGCCCTTAAGCAGGTATGATCTTTTTATACCCAAGTTTATCTCTCGGATCATAACAGCACCAGGTAGAAGTTGAATAGTCATAGTCTCGTAGATACATAACACTATAATAAAGAATGAGTGAAATAATACAAGTATGAAATTTCTGTAATCCTTTTGGCAGGTTCCGGCTGAAAAAATAATTATCGAGAAGGAGTCTGTAACTGATGGGATTTTGGAACTCATATCTCAGTTAGGGATACAAAAACTGGTTATGGGTGCAGGAGCCAACAGCAGATTTTTGAGGTTCTGACACAAATTTTGCTAAGCACTTTCACATTTTGTACTCTGTTTTGATGTCTACTTACTTTTAAAGGAATGGAGTAACAAGTAACAACTTATGATATTATTGGCCAAATACGAGGCATTATTTTGAGAAAAGGCAAATTTTATGTTTAATATGTTTTGGCACACATGCAACTCAATCTATTGACTAAAATGTCCTGTTTTGTTGCCCTGATATTGCAGGATAAAACCAAAACCCACCTCAGAAAAGTCTAATGAAGTCCTTAATAAGGCTCCTGATTTCTGTCACATCTGGTTTGTATACAAAAGTCGTCTAATATATACGAGGTATATTTTACTACTTGGAAAATAATTTTACAATGTGTTCATAGTCTTACAGATTCAGTGTTACTTGAAATTGATGATTTTGTGTGTACTGGCTTTAAATCTTTTCAATTGTTTTGTTGGTATGGTGTCATAATTACTGTACAAGGTGAGTATTGAGAATTTTGCAGAAAGGTTTAGAATAGTTTGTTTGTGTACATAAAAAATAAGCCTAACATTGTATTCTCTCGAACTGGAATCAGTTGTCACATTATTTGAACCTGTCAGAATTAGGGATATATGTGACATGATTAACAAAGTTTAGAGCAACAACATGCCTTTTCCTCTTCTTAATGAGATCAATATTAGTGATTGCAAGATACTGATTTCAACACGTCGATACAGGGAAGCCATGAGGCAACTGAATCAGCATCTGGTAGAAAATCAGTTGAACAGACTGAGTTATTTAGAACAATCTATCGATTTACCATCAGCTGAATCATCACCGTTGTCTCAAAACATGCATCATGATTCGTCACCTGCTACTGTACTGGTAGGCATTCAGCCCCTGTTCCTATTACTAAAGATAGTCATCAACGGCTGAGGACTTAAAATTTTGGTGGGTAAAGGGATATAGGATTCAAATATTTTGTGCGGGAAGTTAAAAGTTGATTTTTCTTAAGGATTTTTCAACAATAATCCTAAATTAACTCAAGTATTAAGTATTCATTTCTACTTGAAATTCTATTAAACCAACTGAATCTTTGCTTTTCAGCAGCAAAATATCATAGACAATGATTCATATGATCAACTTCAGCAACCCTTAGCACAAGCTGAAAAAGTTAGACAAGAAGAAGCTTGTGAAGATTCGGAGGGACGGCAGAAAGCTGAGAGCGAGGCCATGAAGGCAATTCACAGTGTAAGTTTCAAATATATTCTATTCCATTGAAACAATGAATAACTATTTTGTTGGTTTGAATACCAGAGATTCTATAAGTTTTGTTTTGTTTTAGTTTATCATGGGGAGATCAAAATTGAAAACTCAATAGATTCTCTCAAAGCTAGCATTTTATACAGTCAGAGACACTAACAAAAGCCAAGATTATGTCATTATGATTTGTCTGAATTTGTGTGTGTCATCCTTGAAGAAATTCCCTTTTTTAGAGGCATTGAGCATGAAAATGACCCTATCACATTCACATAATATGTCAATCAAACAGCTTACTTTGTTTGTAAAGCAGTTTGGTGAAGACTAAGTGGAATTTTTTCTTTCCCTCTTTTTTTCTTTCTTTCACTGCATTGAAGATTTTTATTTTTAATTATCGACTTACATGTATGCAGTTGAAAGCTTCTGATGAAAAGCTAAATAAGATGAAGGGGAAAATAAACGATCTACAGCTCAAGGTACATAAAGGTTTAAAGGTGCTTTACCAAGCAGCAGCAGCTGGTGAGTTCTTATCAATTGAAATTGAGGATGAGGATGAGGAAGAAGAGAAAATGCTCTTCACGGAATATTTGCAGAAGAACAAGAAGCAATGTGATAAAGTGATAATGGATTTTGATGATACTCTTGATGTATACCTATCTGCGGATGATGATTCTGCTGAAGTAGTTCAAGTGTTGGAGGAACAAGTTTCCCAGGAACCATCTAGTTCAAATGTTCCTATGTTTTCCTGTGAGTTCTCCCAGTTAGATATCAGAGAAGCTACTATGTTCTTTGATCCATCATTGATAATTCATGAAGGAGACAATGGCATTCTATACAAAGGTTGCCTGCATAACACTGAAGTCGCGATAAAGGTACTTAAACCTGATAGCTTGCAGGGTAATGCAGAGTTCAAACATGAGGTGAGAAATTTAACTACACTTTATTTGTAATCTTGCATTTTAAACAAGAGAAATTTTGTTCTGATGATCATTAACTGTAAAATCATATTGTTTTTGGAGAGTTTGGATTATAGAAGAATTTTTGGAGAAACTACGTTGTATGAAACTATTATTGCATATTTGCATGTATGTAGTGAATAGATTATAAGCATAGTAATATTAGCAATCACTTTTGAACTGTTCCATACCTCGTGTGCATAATTTGAACTTTGCTTGTAGGTTGATGTATTAAGCAAGTTGCGCCACCCAAACCTGGTGAGTCTCATTGGTCCATGCCATGACTCCTTGGCTCTCATCTATCAGTATCTTCCCAATGGAAATCTTGAAGACCGACTGAATTGCAAAGACAACACTCCCCCGTTACCATGGCAAACAAGAATTCAGATAGTCATTGAATTGTGCTCAGCCCTTAACTTCCTGCATTCTATCCAACCTTGCAGCATTATACACAGTGATTTAAAGCCAAAAAATATACTTCTGGACGCCAATTTCAGCTGCAAGCTCAGTGGGTTCAGTTTCTGCCATATTATCCCTAACAACAAGCAGACTCTCACAATAGATGAATTAATGGGAACTTCTTCTTACATAGACCTTGACTCTCTAGATGATGGACTTCTTTCCCTTAAATCTGATGTATATTCTTTCGGAATTATATTGCTGCGCTTATTAACTGGAAGACCTGCCCTGAATATAGTGAAAGAGGTTCAACATGCTCTGGAGAATGATTATCTCCATAGCATATTAGATCCTGCTGCTGGTGACTGGCCGGTTGTACGAGCTCAACAACTTGCTCATATGGCTTTGAAAAGTTGTGACATAAAAGCAAAAGACCATCCAAACCTTGGTTCGGAGATTTGGAGAGTGCTTAACCCAGTGATAACTTCAACTGAGAGCTTTTCTAGTCCTCTGCAGCCTGTCAGTGGAGACCAAATACCATCCTATTTCATTTGTCCCATTTTTCAGGTTTGTATTTTTCGTAGCTTGAAGATATATATGCAGCATAAGTCTATGGTCTACCCTTTAAATTTTTCCCAACTCGCTTTGACACATTTGTCAGATATCTTTCATTGAATGAGCTTAACTTGAACATGTAGGATATAATGCGGGATCCACATTTTGCTGCTGATGGATTTACATATGAAGCAGATGCTGTAAGAGGGTGGTTTGAGAGTGGTAGTAATACTTCACCAATGACTAATCTAAAACTCAGTAATCATAATCTTACTCCTAATCGTGCTCTGCGATCTGCAATTCAGGAGTGGCTACTACAGCACCATCTTGTTTAGGTTATCTCACTCATGTTGTCTACCCCAAAAAAGTTTGTTTCTGATGTTTTGTACAGAATTGATGTGCATTCTTTTGTAGGTAATTGTTCACTACATTGTATAGTAATTCAAGGCATTTTTTTAAAGGTAAGTAAAAGAAACGTTAGGACACTTACACAAGAGGGGAAATCCTGATCACCTGTTGTATAGTTATTGGTGGCTTATTTGCTTCCTGCAAGAAATCATTTGTATGTTGATATTTTTTTTAAGGAAATCCTAATGTATAGTAATTGGTGGCTTATAATTTGTTTCCTGTAACAATTCGTTTGTATTAATGATTTGTAACGTTTTTGGTCTAAATGAGCATGCATAATGACAAACTAAGCAACATAAGCTTGAATTTAGCAAACTTAATTGCAAAAGAACCTGCAGAAATGTTGATCCTTCAAAGCTAAGTGGTACTCGATCAACTAGGATCGCGGCTCTTTATAATACTCCTTAAGATTTAATTTGTACTATTACTACGTATTAGAATACCATTAATAATAATTATTATATTGCGGCTCTTTTACAATAGTTTCTTCATAGTTTTTATTTATTTTTTTTTTATTTTTTTTTTGTTGTAAAAAATCGCATATGTAAGGGACTTGAAATTGTAAATGACCATATTGTAACACGATATAATGTATACTTTAATTATTTTCCAAGTAAAGGGGATTTATTTTTGTTATTGTAACTACATAGACGTTGCTATATATACTCAGGTGTACCGTACACTTATGAGTATTTGTTCTCATTTTGAAGGTTATTTTTCATTTTATCATCAACTGAAGAGCTGTCAAAAGCTAACCCGACCCGAAATACCGATCCTAACCCGACATATTAACCAACCCGTCTGAACCCGAAAATATGGTGACCCGAACCCGACCTAACCTGACTTGAAGCCAACCCTAGACCCGAGTTGACCCGAGTATTGAGACCCGAACCCGAACATTAACTGACCTAGAGACGACCCGACCCGAATGTAACCTGTAAATTATTGACCTAAATCGAACCTGACCTGAACCGAAATTGACCTAAACCCGTTTTAACCCGTTAAATCCAAAATTCAACTCGACATGTTCCTAACCCGACCTGTTCCTAACCCGACCCGAATTTAACCCGACCTGCTACAAATCCGACTCGAATTTTAACCCAACCTGTTACAAACCCGACCAGAATCAACCCGACTTGTTATTGACCCGACCCACATTCAACCCGACTTGTTATTAAATCAATATGTATAGGTCGTTATCCCATGTTGGTATTGGAACGGAAATTGAATCGATCCTAACTCTATTCCTTTAATATTTCACTTTGAATTGTTGACCCGACCCGAGATGACCCGACTCACAATACCCCGACTCGAACCGAACCCGACTTGAACCCGAGAATGACCCAACTTGGAAATGACCCGACTTGATTATAACTCGCAAATTATTGACTTGAATCGAACCCGACTTGAACCGGAGAATGACCCAACCTGATTATAACCCGTAAATAATTGACTTTGAACCGAACCCGACTCGAACCCGAGAACGACCCTAACTCATTTAAACCCATAAAGACCCGAATGTAACCCGGCCTTTTAATAACCCAACCTAAACCCCACCCAAACCTGATAAGATGTATGACCCGACGTGACCCGACTCAAACATGATCCAACCCGAACCCGACCCACATATGTTATGACATTAACCCGTATTGATCTGATCCGAGATGACCCGACTCACACTAACCCAAATCAAACCCGACCCGTTTACCCGAATTGACAGCTCTAGATGGAACCATCCAATTTGCCTTTGAACGACCAAATTATCGGTTTATAATTTGCACCGATTTCATTAACTCAAGCCTACCACGAACATTTATGAAAACATATAATGATCATATATGGTTCCAAACGACATTATATAACCTCGAGATGTATCTCATATAATTTCAAGACTTTTCGACATCTGGTCCCGAAACCTCCAAAATTTCTCAAAAACCGTGGATATTAGCCTTCAATTTTGGAATTTTTTGACTTTTTTTCGCTCGTAAATAAAAATTGCAGAAATGTTTACCATGGTCCCTAATACCCTCCGGAAGTCCAATTGGGTGGATGGAACCATCCTATTTGCCTTTAAACGACCAATTTACCGGTTTATAACTTGCACCGATTTAATTAATTCAAACTTAATACGAACATTTATCACGACATATAATAATCATATGTGGTTCCAAACGACATTATATGACACCGAGATGTATCCCCTAAAATTTCAAAACTTTTCGACACCGGGCCTCTAAATATCCTATATTTTTCAAAAAACGTGGATATGCCTTCAATTTTGGAAATTTTTGACTTTTTTCGCCCGAAAATAAAAATTGTCAAAATGCTTCCCATGGTCCCTAATACTCTCCGAGAGTCCAATTGGGTGGGTGGAACCATCAAATTTTCCTTTAAACGACCAATTTACGGAGTATTACCGGTTTACAACTTGCACCGATTTCATTAACTCAAGCCGAATACTAACATTTATGAAAACAAATAATGATCATATATGGTTCCAAATGGCATTATATGACCCCGAGATATATCCCCTAGAATTTCAAAACTTTTCGACACCGGGCCTTAAAACCTCCAAAATTTCTCGAAAAATATGGATATTAGCCTTCAATTTTGGAATTTTTTGACTTTTTTTTTTCACCTGGAAATAAAAATTGCCAAAACATTACCATGGTCCCTAATACCCTTCTCGATTCCAATTGGGTGGGTGGAACCACTCAATTTGCCTTTAAACAGCAAATTTACCGATTTACAACTTGCACCGATTTCATTAATTCAAACCTACCACGAACATATAAAAAAACGTATAATGATCATATATGGTTCCAAACGACATTATATGACCCCGAGATCGATCTATCCCCTAAAATCTTAATGCTTTTCGACACCGAGCCCCAAAACATTCGAAATTTCTCAAAAAGCGTGGATATTAGTCTGCAATTTTGAAATGTTTTGAATTTTTTTTGCCTAGAAATAAAAATTGCCGAAATGTTTACCATGGTCCCTAATACCCTCCGGGAGTCCAATTAGGTGGGTGGAACCATCCAATTTTTCCTTTGAACGACCAATTTACTGGTTTATAACTTGCACCGATTTCATTAACTCAAGCCGATCACGAACGTTAATGACAACAAATAATGATCATATATATATGGTTCCAAACGACATTATATGACCCCGAGATATATCCCTTAGAATTTCAAAACTTTTCGACACCGGACCCTGAAACCTCAAAAATTTCTCAAAAAGTGTGGAATTTTCTGACATTTTTTCACCTAGAAATAAAAATTTCCGAAATGTTTACCATGGTCCCTAATACCCTCTGGGAGTCCAATTGGGTGGGTGGAACCATCCAATTTTCCTTTAAACGGCAAATTTACCGATTTACAACTTGCACCGAGTTCATTAATTATTCAAGCCTACCACGAACATATAAGAAAACGTATAATGATCATATATATGGTTCCAAACAAAATTATATGACCCCGAGATCTATCCCCTAAAATCTCAATGCTTTTCTTTACCGTGCCCAAAAAGATTCGAAATTTCTCAATAAGCGTGGATATTAGTCTTTAATTTTGAATTTTTTGACTTTTTTTCACACGGAAATAAAAATTGCTGAAATGTTTACCATGGTCCCTAATACCCTCTGGAAGTCCAATTGGGTGGGTGGAACCATCCAATTTACCTTTAAACGACCAATTTACCGGTTTACAACTTCATCGATTTCATGAACTCAAGCCTACCACTAACATTTGTAACAACATATAATGATCATATATAGTTCCAAATATCATTAAATGACACCGAGATGTATTCCTTAAACTCTCAAGGCTTTTCGACAACGGGCCCCGAAATCTTCAAAAATTCTCAAAAATCGTGGATATTAGCCTTCAATTTTGGATTTTTTTGACTTTTTTTTCGCCCGAAAATAAAAATTGCTGAAATGTTTACCATGGTTCCTAATACCCTCCGGGAGTCCAATTGGGTGGGTGGAACCATCCAATTTGCCTTTAAACGACGAATTTACCAGTTTAAAACTTGCACCGATTTCATTAACCCAAGCTACCACGAACATTTATGACAACAAATGATGAACATATATGGTTCTAAATGGCATTATATGACCCCGATATATATCCCCTAAAATTTCAAAACTTTTCGACACCGGACCCTGTAACCTCCAAAATTTCTGACTTTTTTGGAATTTTTTGACTTTTTTTTGGTCTGGAAATAAAAATTACCGAAATGTTTACCATGGTCTCTAATACCCTCCAGGAGTCCAATTGGGTGGGTGGAATCATCCAATTTTCCTTTAACGACCAATTTACCGATTTACAACTTGCACCGATTTCATTAATTCAAGCCTACCACGAATATATATGAAAACATATAATGATCATATATGGTTCCAAACGACATTATATGACCCCGAGATGTATCCCCTAAAATGTCAAGCCTTTTTGACACCAAGCCCCGAAACCTCCAAAATTTCTCAAAAAGCGTGGATATTAGCCTTCAATTTTGGAATTTTTTTACTTTTTTCGCCCGGAAATAAAAATTGCCGAAATGTTTACCATGGTCCCTAATACCCTCCGGGAATCCAATTGGGTCTGTGGAACCATCCAATTTGCTTTTAAACGGCCAATTTACCGGTTTACAACTTGCACCGATTTCATTTACCCAAGCCTACCACGAACATTTATGACAACGTATAATGATCATTTATGGTTCCAAACGACATTATATGACCCCGAGATGTATCCCCTAAAATCTCATTTCTTTTCGACACCGGACCCCGAAACCTTCAAAATTTCTCAAAAAACATGGATATTAGCCTTCAATTTTGGAATTTTTCGACTTTTTTCGAACGGAAATAAAAATTGTTAAAATGTTTACTATGGTCCCTGATAAAATTCAGGAGTCCAATTGGGTGGTGGAACCATCTAATTTGCCTTTAAACGACCAATTAACCAGTTTACAACTAATTGCACCGAATTCATTAACTCAAGCCTACCTATAGGGAATATTTCAAGCATTATCCCTAGCTTGAACCCCACTGTGATCATACACTAAAGCATGGTGGCGTCCAAAGGGAAGGAATCTAGATCAAAAGAATCGCTTACAAGTTTTAGGAACTTGTAAACCGTTCACGAGGTGATCTGAAGGTAAAACCCCTTAACGATCCAGGAGATCATTAACTCCAACAGGTCTGGAACCAAGACTGGTAGTTCGGGGATGAAGGTACAAATCCAACCTAAAAGAGATT